CCTCCTTAATGGAAGGGCAGGCCAAGGTGAGTTCTGATGTGGTTGAAGCAGAAGAACTAACGATGCTAACTTGGGAAGAACTCGATGGCCCATACAGCACTGTTCACACATTTTCATCTTCCACTCCACAACAGTTCTCTTGGTAGGAAGTACAAATTTCATTTTCCCTGCAAAATAGATGAGAGAACAGGCCCAGGGAGGTTAGGTGACTTGTAAATGGCCGAACTTGGTTTCAAAGCCAGATCCTCTTTTTTATTTCACCAAAATGAACATTTCCATCTACACTGTGGAACAGAGAACGGAGAGGATTATACCTGGAACTGACTGTCTGTTAAGTATCTAATAAATTCAACCTATAACTTTCAAAGCAGTCCTGATTGTGATTCCTTCTGGTCTTTCCTGCCTTTCCCTCCCCTCCCCCCCAATATCCTTTTGACTCTCTCCAGTGCACTTTCTTTTTACCCAAGTCCCTTTTTCATTATACCAGACCTTAACACAATGCTAGGACAGTTCTGGAGCTGCCCCAAGGGCATAGGTCAGAACCAGGACAGAGCCCTAGGAAACAGTCCTCTTGGGGAGTATTCTCTAGACTTGGACTACATTTTGGAATGGGAAACAAATTTCAATTAAATTTGGCGCAGTAGAAGAGGCTAGAGAAACAAAGGATTGTTAACTGAGATAATATTGTTTACAGAATAACTAGTTAATATCAAATGCCAGTATAAAGAAAATCAGGCTCATGTCCTTAAGGAATTTGTTGCTTGAAAATTCCTATAAGGTATTCTGAACTTGACAAACTGTAAAATGATCATTTTCGTGTAGTAGAATGGAAAGAAGGGATTATACATGAAACTCGATCTCCTAGGTAGAGCTTGTTTTTCTAGATATATAATAAATTCTTCATGTAACATTCAAAACACCTGCTTGTCTGTGATTTCTTCTGGCCTTTGTTGTAATGATTATTAACATATTTTAAGGATCTACCACATGCTGAGATGGAGATAGGGAAGGTCTGAAGGCATAAAAAGGAAAAACATAGTCTTGATTCTGAGATTTTCTTTTCAAATGGTATATCAAAATAAACTGAGAGGGGTTAAATTTAATTTTTTCTTCTCCTGTAACCAATGTCGTTAAGTTCAATCCATTTTTCTTTCAGAATGTATCTGAGTCTTGTGCTTTGTGTTCTCACATTGGTCCAGGCCTTCACTGTCTGAAGTCTGAATTATTGAGAGCCTCTCACTAGCACAAACTCAGCTTAACTAAGACTATTTTCCTGTCTTCCCACTATAAGTAGCCCATTTCAGCTTTTTGAGCTTTTGCTATTCCCCACCACTACTTGATATATCTTTTTTTTTGTTTGTTTTTTAGGCAGTTGGGGTTAAGTGACTTGCCCAGAGTCACACAGCTAGTAAGTGTCAAATGTTTGGTCTGAGGCTGAATTTGAACTCAGGTCCTCCTGACTTCAGGACCGGTACTGTATCCACTGTACCACCTAGCTGCCCCATTACTTGATATATCTTCTCCCCAACTCTGCAAACCCTACCTACCCTTCCAGGCCTGACTAAAGTCCTGTCTCTTCTTCTCTAGATAATCTGACCCATGACACTTAGTGTCTGCATTTAGAAATGTAAAATTTCCAGTAATATTTATGCTATTGGAGAGAAAAACTGTGGGAGATGGGAACAAAGCTTTTGGAGAAAGTTGAAATATACATCAGATTTCTTTTTGAATTCTTTATGGATTTATGTGGATTTTTATGCATCTATTAGGAACATAAAAGTATGTTAAACGATTTGATGTGCTCATAAAATTGTTTCACATATTTAGAGATGTAAAGCCTCCAAGAATTGTTTTGAAAAACCAGGAGAGTCATTCCCAAAAAGTTGCCCCCCCCTTCCCCTCTCCCCATTTTTGGTATATCTTTTTTTCCCCAAGTAGTCATATCTCATTTCAACACAATCACTGATAAACCAGCAAGTATCTGTGGGACATCTGTCATGTATGAATGAATAAATGAGTATCTACTAAGTACTTACTGTGGGTAAAACAGTGTGCCAAGACCTAAGGATACAAGTAGAAAACAAGACAGTTCCTGATCTCATTAAAGTTCATGATCTAACAGTGGGAGACAACATACATAGGTGGTTCCAACAAGTATGTAAAAAAAGCCTTAATGTGCAGAAGCAAAGCAGATAGTAATGTCTTTTCCATTGATTAAACCAAATATGTTTCTGACTTTGAAACACTGACAGTGCTGAGGGCTTTGGTGGTGAGAACTTTCTTTTCTTACTCTTCAGTAGCTGTAGCTGCTGAGGAGGAAGTTAGTACTACAGCCTTTTGGACAGGCAGTTGGCAGGTGGAATATCCCCAAGGATTGCTCTCCTAGCATAGCAGAAAAAACATTAGATATGACCTCTGCTCTCAGTGAGCTTAAAGTTGAATAACTGAGACAAAACAATATATATGAAACACCTGGGGAACAATTAAGTGCCAACATTTACGGTACCGATTATAAATGGAATAGGAATTCAGAGACGGGAGAGATTGATGTGGTCTGTAAATGAAGGTTGAATATTCAACAACTTACAGGGATAATGATTAATGGATGCTCTGGAAATAAAACACTTTTATCAGTAATTCATTCAAAACTTTATAAATCACACAAAGCAGCATCATACATAACAATGTTTCCACTGAGCCAAGCACATGCTTATTGACGCAATACAAAGATGACCCTACAGAGCTTCTATTTATCCTTTAATAGCTGAAGGTAATCACTGTCACTTGTCTTAGCTGTCTCGGCCTTCTCTTTTGCCTTTCAGCTTTCTCCACCATGGTTCGTAGAGGTCATCAGTTTATAGAGGTCTTCCCAGGTTTTTTTGAAACCATTCTCTTGATAAAAAAATGACAACTTTTTTATAGCACAGTAGTGTTCCATCACATTCATATCCCATAACGTGTTCAGCCATTTCCCCATTGCAACATCCTCTCAATGTTCAATTCTTTGCCACCACAAAAGAGCTGCTACAGATGTTTTTGCACACGAGTCTTTTAGGGAAAATTTCCTAACAGGGTTGTCCAAAAGTGGAATTGAATGCCTTCAGAGGTGATGGGCTTCCTCTCATTGGAGGTCTTAAAAGTAGAAGCTGAATGACTAGTTGTTGAGTGTATTATTGGGAAGAACTCCTTTTAGGTATGGATTGGTCTAGATGGCCGTGCCAACTCTAAAATTCTTTGTTTCTGTGCTGTGTGTTACTTTGACAAAGTATTTGCATTTTAAATGTTTTATTTCAAATTGTGAGATGAAAAAAGTGAATTTAGGCACCAGCAAGTAGGTGAAAAGAAACTGTTTTGGACTGGGAAGCTCATGAACTCACTGTGGAATTAGACTACAGAAGGCAAAACCTGATTGAGTACTGTGGTGATGGGGAGTCAAGGGGAGGGAATTATCCCTCCCAACTTATTGATGTCAGACGCAGCACAAACACCAGAGTGACCCAGACTCTGTGGTGTGCCACACATATGGCTAAATTATAGTCTGCTGTTGTTTTTCAGTCATTTTTTCAGTCACATCTGATTTTTCATGAACCCACTTGGGTTTTCTTGGCAAAGCTACTGAAATGGCTTGCCATTTCCTTATCCACCTCATTTTACAGATGAGGAAACTGAGTCAAACAGGGTTAAGTGACTTGCCCAGGGTCACACAGCTAGTAAGTTTCTAAGGCCACACTTGAACTCAGGAAGAGGAGTCTTCCTGACTCTGGGCCCAGCACTCTATCCATTTCACCAACCCAGCTGCAAAAATACAAAGATTTATATGAACAAATGTAGTTGCCTTTGTATATTTAGCCTTTCAAAGTGAAATACAGCATAAGGCTAAATACAGTTGATGAAAAGAAATATTCAGCAAATGAATACTACAGAATCATTCTGTGGCATTTTAAGAGAATTTCTTTCTCAACTATATCCATCCCCTAAGAAGATATGTAATGATGATAGAGCAGCTGTATTTTGTCAAGGCTTGCAAACCTTTATCCTATCAGGGACCAATTTAAATCAATTAGATCAAGCTAATTGTTCTTTCAAGTGTGCTAAAGCTTCTGTTCCCTTATAGTAAAACTTTTAGTGACTGAAAAATGTCACTGTCCTAAAGTTTTCAGAGGCATCACACACTTACAAGCATTGCATGTTTCCTCAAAAAGTGAAGACACGTTCATGGATAAAGCAATTTTTTCTTCCACTAGTTCCATCATCTTTCTTGCTCAATTAGAACCATAGGGTTACTTTACTAAAGCAGCCTTTCTATAACGGGGTGACTATAAAGCTTTTTCTAAGGAAGCAACAGTAATATCTTTATTCAGTATATAATGTATAATATGACATTTGTAGATCATATTAGAATATATTAGAGTTTATATAATGTATAAGATACAGTATATAATCATTAATTGTATATATTTTAATATATACATTATTATACATTAGATATTATTTATATATGCCATTTTCTTGCCTATAGAATCAACCTACATACTCATTTAGATCTTATTTAGAACATAAAATACTATTAAAGAAAAGGTTTTTTTTTACCTCTTCGCAAAGTGCATCACTGCCTCCATAAGATGGCAGGATAAGTAAGGACAGTCAGTACCAAGGAGGTCCCCGTCATTTGAGGAAACGACGAAGAGCTAGATGGATGGAGACTACAAAGCCTGCAGAGGTCCTCAGAGCCCCGTCGCCCCTACATCTCTACAGCTAATTGCCCTTTCCCACGGCACTCCGTTCCGGAAATTCCCCAGCCTTTCCACCCATAACTCCCCTTCCCGTCCGCTCCCGTACTCTGGGCTCCTTCAGGTAAAACCCTCCCGGGCAGGGCGGGCTGCGTTTCCAGGGGAACGAGGAGAGCGTCCCGCATTAGCCAATCACAGAGCGGCCCCTCCCCGCGGGCCGGTTTGAAATCCTTGCGCAGTTCAAACGGTTCTAGTCGATTTTCCCGAGAGTCGGAGCCGCAGCGGTTACTGGCGGAGCGGGCTGGCGAGCGCGGCCTGAGCCGGTTTGGGGTCGGATCGGAAGCGGCGGGGGTCGCCTACTCCACCGAGACAGGCTTCAGCTGGAAGCAGCCGCCATGAGGAGAAGGTGAGGGCGGCGTTGGCTTCGGGGCTGAGGCCTGGGGTGGGGGGCGAGCCCATTTTAGCCCCAGACCGGGGTCGCGACTGCCTCTGGAAGGTCGAGAGCCTTTGGGGAGCCCAGTACAGGCTTCGACCTAGCCCCGGGGGTCGGGGAAGGGGCGGGTCACCTGGGCTGGAGGGGTGGGGGTGGGGGTGGGGGTGGGGAGTGGCCGCCCAGGCTTGGATCCTTCCCTGACTCTAGAGGATAGGGGAGGGTCCCTCGGGGAGAAGGGCCTGCTTCTGGGGGGGTCCTTTATTTGGTCTTGACCTTTACTCTGAGCTCCTTGAAACCAGGGACCGTCTTTTTTTGCCTTTGTATCTCCCGGCGCTTACCACTGTGCCTGAGTAGGCGCTTAAAAAAATGCTTGTTGACTTGGGGGATGCACCTGATCCACCCCCCACCCCTCAGTGAGATTCCAGAAGGAAATGTCACGTAAACAGCTTTCCTGGCCCGCTGCCAAGTTTGGGGTGCCGCTCCCGACGACCCAGCGGAGCTGCGAAGCCTCAGCCGGGCTTAGCAGTTGTTTTGGGAATCTTGATTCCCACCTGTTCCCCGCGAACACTACGAGAGGCTGCCCTGAATCGGCCCCACCTTTGTTGCTGGAGACGCGCCCCTCGGGGAAAAGAGGAAAATTCCAGGAACTTTAGCTTTTTTCCAGTGGGTGTGTAGCCTAGTATGAGCCTTGGGGAAATAAAAAGCCGGAGGTAGGAAAACCGAGAGTGGTACTGAGTGTGGATTAGGTGAGGTAATCATTACTCTTTCCCCTGGTAGGCTATGGGGGTGGTGGCTAAACTGAGGAGTTTGAATACCACGTGGACTAACTTGTAGATTGGTTGTTCTGTTTGCATCCCCAGCCCTTTAGCGTGGTGCCAGGTACATACTAGGTGCTTAATAAATACTTATTGACTGACGGACCAGCATATATAGATTGGGAAGCCTACACAGCTTTACTTATGCAGTAGTGTTCACTTTTTGGTATAGTCAGATAAGGAATTGTCTCCTGTCAGCTCTTTAAGGTGTGGCATCTTATATATGCCAGCTGGGCAGGCTGCACTTGAAATTTCCTTGTCAAGGCCCTGTCTAGAAACAAAATATTCTGTGTTATGGGCAGTGTTTTGCTGTGACTCCCAGCCTGAATTCATTGAAGCCGAAACTTAGCATAACTTGAAATGAGGTTTTGTGCTTCTGCAGCATTAAAGTGTATGCTAGTTAGCTCAGCCAATTAAAGCAGGCTACCATGAGATCAACTAAGGTCAGCAGTTCAATCCTTAAACTTTAACTCTGGCCAGCCAGTCATCTTGTAAATATCAGTGGTCAAACTGGGCCCAGGCAGAGAGGCAAAATTGTTAACTGTACTAGAAATAGCAATTCAAAGCGTCCTTCCCTATTGCTTATAGTTAAAATAATTTCACATCTGAATGGAAGCCTAGCTATAAAAAGCTGTTTTTCATAATTAGTGTTGGATTTTGGTGTGACCTGTGTAGCCTTATGAAACATAACAATGGTAAATGCTATTTAAGATGCATCTACAGTTTATAGATTACCCAGATTCTTTACCTGGTTTGCTTTAACCATATATATACTACTAAAAAATGAACACAGAGGGGGAGGAGATAAAATTAATCAAGTTCTACTATAAGTTAAAAGGTCGTTTTAAAGACTGAAACCACTGTATAGGTTGATATCAAATTTGGGTTTTATCTGGATTATGGTATAGTGGAGAGAGTGCTGCATTAGGAGTTTGAAAGACAGAGATTCACATTTAACCTCTGATACTTTCTAGAAGTGTTGTGACCCTGGGCAAATAAATCACTTAAACTGATAACAATCTATATCATCTAAGTCAAAGACCCTTCTGTTCCCTTGGTGAAGAGGGGTCTCACACATGTAGTTCAGCTGATGGCTCACAGATTTCTAGAACTCAGTTATCCAGCGGTAATCAAGAGCTTGATGTACCAGAAGAAACAAAAAGATTGTCGGATTGATCACCTGAATGCTGATATTGACTGTGGACTGTCCATTACTGAAATAGGGCAATGTGATCTCAAGGCTTTATTATCTAGAGTGCATCCTCCAAGTCAGCATTACCAAGTGATAAGGTACCAAAGATATATTAAAAACAGAACTGATTGCTCAAATAGATGAGTTAAGGCTTACCTTCAGGGAGGGGACTATGACAACCCCTTGAGATCATTTCCAGGCCTGTAATTTTTGCTTGAGATTGTAAAAAGGATCAAAAGTCTAACACTTGAGTTTTTCAGGTGTTATTACTGTGAATATCTATAGGTTTTTTTTTTCCCTCCAGGAAAATATTGTAGGCAGTGTGATGTAACTGCATAGATACTGCCACTAATTATCTATAAAAACTAACCTCACTAGGCTTCTCACTTGTATAATTGGGGTTTGGTAGTAAGAGTCCTCTAGCTCTGTTTCTAGTTAAAATTAGTCAGGATTTCAATAGTTTTATTTATGGGGCTCTCCTTGGAATGTAGAGGTAGACATAGGGACTGAACCTGGGATCTTATCAGTGTAGGGAAATCCCTGGTGAATCCCCTTCTGCCAATATCAATAAGCACCTTTTCTGCAACTTCTAACCTTAGGGCCCTAGCATAACATGATTTGCCCAGGGTCACACAAACAGTATGATCAGGGGTGGAACTTGACCCCAAGTCTTCCTGGCATTGTGGCCATTGCTTTGTATTTTCCTGCCACATTGCCTCTCCAGTGTGTACTAGAGTTATGTGCATTCTGGTACTTGTAATTTCGTTGCTGTAGGTACCCATGGGACTATAGATTTAGAGGCATAAGGAACTTCAGCGGTCCTTTAACCGAAACTCTTCACATGGATGAGGCAACTGAGGCCCACTGAGGTTAAATGACTTCCTCTCATGGTCACATAGTAAGTGACAGAGCCAGGATTCCACCCCACATCCTTTGAACTGCAGTGACTGATGTAGATTACAGCCCCTCTATAACTTAGTAAAGGTCCTTGAGAGTTGCCATGGCTGGAAAAAACTCACACTCTGTGGCCAGTGTCATGACAAGCCTTTCCACATCTGTCTGGGCTTGTCTTCAGATATCAGATTTACATATAGTCAATCAATGGTCCTGTACAATTTAAAATAATATACAACTTCAAATGCAGGGAAGCCTGTAATTGCCAAGTTTTGATAGTGAATTTTCTTTCTCTTGGTTGCTACCACTAATACTGCTAATGTTCTCCACCCCTGCTTTGGGGTCTGCTTTGGGATTCCTAGGGTTTCCACTAAGTTGGTGAGCTATAATGCCCGGATTCAAATCCTAATTCTGATACCTACTAGCTTTGTGACCCTGGTCAAGTCACCTAATCTCTTGATTCATCTGTAAAATGTTAATAATACTATAATACCTATAAATACTATTGATAATTTGATATCGATAATAACTATAATACCTATAAAACCCTGCAGGGTTGTTGTGGGGAAAGCATTTTATAAGCCTTAAAGCTCTATATAAATGTAAGTTATCCTACTGAAAAGCCCCATCAGAGAGAATATGGAGGCCACCATGTATCCCTAAAGGAAATTTCAAGTGCGTAAATTCTGGTAGATCCTAGCCACATAGCAAAGCTTTGAACAGAGGCCTATGGACTGGTGTTGTCTAAGAACCAGTCTAGCTGAGATCAGAGAGGCTCATCACTAGAAGGCACCATCAGCAGATATGTTTTGGCCATACCAACTCATTAATCTTATCTATGACCCTTGTTAGGTCATGGAATCACTTGCATTGTGTTGGTGAACTGAATGTACTCTATACCGATGAAATGAAATAGTCCACTAAAATATTGTAATAAATTCCTGGGGACCAAAAAGTATGTAGATCCATTAAGCAATTTTCCAGGGAAAAAATACAGGTTATGAAGGGTTTTTAACCCCAGATAGAGCATTTTATATTTGATCTTGGAAGTGATAAGGAACCATTGGAGTTGATTGAATGGGGTGACATGGTCAGACTTGCTCTTAAGGAAAATCACTTCAGTAACTGAGTGGAAAATGCTAGATTGGGGAGAGACTTAAAGCAAGAAGACCAACGAACGGGTCATTTCAATAGTCCCGGGCATGAGGTGATAAGGGCCTTCACCAGGCTGATGCTAGTAGCAGAGGAGAGAAGGGGATGTATACAGGAGATATTACAAAGGGGAAAACTGACAGGCCTTGACAACAGATTGGATTTTGGGGGTGAGAGACAGTGAGGAGTTGAGGATCACCCCTATGACGAAAATCTGGGTGACTGGGAGGATAGTGGTGCCCTTGACAAATAGGGAAGTTAGGAAGAGGAGAGAGCTTGGGGGGGAAAGATAATGAGTTCAGTTTGGGACATCTTGAGTTTAAGATGTCAATGGGACATCTGGTTTGAGGTGTCTAAAAGGCAGTTGGAGATATAAGACTGGAAGTTAAGAGAAAAGTTAGGACTGGATAAGTAAATTGAAGAATCATCAGTATAGATTTGAATCAATGGGAGCTGATGGATGTCATCAAGTGTAATGGTATAGAGAAGAGAAGGTGCCCGAGGAGAGCCCTGATGGGAGACACCTGTGGGTTAGTGGGTTAGAGGTGTGGCCTGGATGAAGATCTAGCCAAGGAGGCTGAGGGGCTGTCAGATAACCAGACATTAGTATCATTAATACCTAGATAGAAGGGAACATCAAGGAGAAGAGGGTGATTGACAGTGTCAAGAAGGATGAGGATTGAGAAAAGGCCATTACATTTTCTACCTGTTAGTTGCTTTGGAGGGAGCAGTCCCAGTTGGAAGCTATTGTGTAGGGAGTAGAGAGTGAGAGGAAAGAAAGTAGAGACACCTATTGTCAGTGGCCTCCTCAAGTGAAGATTTTTTGAGGATTGGGGAAGACAAGCATGTTTATAGACATGATGGAAACATGCTATTGGTTATATCAATCTGTCAAATGTTTAAATACCTGTGTGCCAGGCACTATGCCAAGCTCTGAATTTATATGTTGTATATGCTGTGCTTTTCCTCTCAACTCTGACTTACATAAAATCTGCATATGACCTCTAACTGGGGTGTGTGTGTGTGATGTTTTTCTTTCAAGATGTGACCTGTAACTGAGGGTGGTCTGTTTTGACCAATATGGTATTTGTTGATTATTTTTTATTCTCCATATCTTTTTGGTGTGGGTGCTATCCTGGTGCCACTATTACAGAAAACATCAATTAATGGGGGACACACGTGCATATGTGTATATGTGTGTATGTATCCCCCCCCCACGTTGGTCTGAGTACTATGGGAGAAGTATGAAACATAATCCCTGACCATGAGGAGTTTTTAGTCTTTTTAAAAAGTAAAAACTAGCACAAATGTAATCATTAGGATATAATTAAATACTTCTGTCTTAGATGAGAGATCTCAGTGGGCTGGAATGTTAAGGAAAGCTTCATGAAAGAAATAGGGCCTTAGAGGATATAGATAACACTTGGGGTGGTCAGTGAAGAGGGGACTGCATTCTAGGGCAGGGTTTGGGTGGGGAGCACATACAGAGACAAGTAGAGAGAATGAATATGACTTGTACAAAGGACAGTAAAGAGATTGACAAATGGAATTGAGTACATGGGGGAGGGTCCTAGGAAATGGGTCCTTTGGTTTTGATTTAATGAAGCAGACACACAGAGACATTTGTAGGCAGGGGAGTGATGTGATGAAAAAAGCTTTATAAAGATTAATTCTGCCTTATGTTGATTTGAATGGTAAGAGATTGGAAGTGAAGAGATACTAGGAGAAGTAGAGAAATACTAGCTGGGAGGTGCTTGCCTTAATTCAGTTGTAATAACAATAATAATAATAATAAAGCTATATTTATACAGCATTTTAAGGCTTATAAAACTCTGTACCTGTGTTATCTCATTTGATCCTCAAAACCACCTGGCATGGCAGGAGGTATTATCCTACTTTACAGATGAGGAAATTGAGCCTTAAGTGACTTGCCTAGAGTCATATAACTAATAAGTGTCTTAAGTGGGACTTGAACTCAGGTTAAGACCTGGCTCCAGGTCCAGTTTTCTCGGGGTCTGGTGGGGGTGGGGGCAGAAAGAAAAGTGTCTTTTGACACTTCAGAGGAAAAATGAATGCATTTAGTGACTGATTGAATAATATACGGAATGGAGAAAAAAGAGTGACAAATTAGAAGAGTTAACTTTATTAAGAAGTGACTTCTTACCCTAAGATAGGGGGGGATAAGATGTGTGAAGACGCTGATGAGTTTTGAGGAGCAGAGTTTAGGGAAGCTCGAACTGAATGGTCTTCTCTTTTCTTGGAACTCTTGACTCCCAGCCAAATGCCTTGTATAGTGTTATGGAGGAAAATATGGTTGTTAGCTTAGTTGCCTGGATTCTGGATGGATATAACCTTGCTGTATTGGTATTTCCTTGATTCCTTTCTTACCTCAGTCTAATAGAAGATGAGATTTGAAATTGGAAGTCTAGAATTCCGTTTTTCTCTCTGCCAGGTAGTAACTATGTGTGTGATCTTGGGCAGTTCACATAATCTCTTCTGGACCTCTACATTCCCATCTGTAAATTGGGGATAGTAATATTTATATTGCCTTCCTCACAGATTATTATGATGAACAGTTGAGATAATTTAAAGAACTATTTAAATGTTGGTAGTGGTCATTATATGTGTCTCCTCAAAAAAGAAAAAGATTAAGACTATATGTTCAGATTATTGGATTTTCATGAGTTGGTAAGGATAAGTGAGTGGATAAAAAATGATTTATCAAGAATTTACTATGTGCCAAGCACTGGGCTAAACATTAGTGATACAAATACAAATAGTATTGTTTTTAGTCCTTGTAAAATATATTGCTTCTAGTCTTGGAATTCATCAGATTTATGTTTTTCTTCAGTGAAGTGCTGGCAGAGGAGTCGGTGGTTTGTCTCCAAAAAGCCCTGAACCATCTTCGAGAAATCTGGGAATTGATAGGAGTTCCAGAGGAGCAGAGGCTACAGAGGACCGAGGTTGTCAGAGAGCACATAAAGGTGAGTGACTTTGATTTTAATGTTATCTTGGTGCGTGATGAAGGACATTTGACATTGGCTGAGATATCGGACATGTAGCGGAGATTTTTGTCCACTACGTAAGGTTGTGTGATCATAAGGTCTGCCTGTTTTTGGGAACCTCCATTCTTGGAGTATGAGCCATCTCCCCACCACCCTTTTCTTCCCGGTTAACACCCCTAATTGTTCTGTGGATGATTCTCCTTTGCTCTAGGATCTATTGGACATGATGATCGAAGAAGAAGAGAGTCTAAAGGAGAGACTCTTAAAAAGTATCAACTTTTGTCGAAAAGAGCTTGACACTCTGTGCAGGGAATTAAGCCTGGTATCCTTTGAAGTAAGTCTTACGTGCAATCTCTCCGGAGATTTAGTTGTCGGAAGTCGGGTCTCAGTGCCGAGAACTGGATGTGGTACCAAATCAGAATGTGAACTTGAGGTCACAAAAAATTGAAACAAGGATGATTCCTGGGAAGAGAGGGGCCATAGAATGCAAAGACAAAACAGGAAGGCTGATGCTGAACCAGTAAAGCAGTAGGATACAATGGCCTTTTCTGTAGAAAGAGCTGACCAAGAGATTTCACTCATTCCTCAAGGAATATGGTACATGGGCAAGGTTTGGACAGGAGGCATATTGTTGGAAGTTAAGGGTTTGCACTTTTTCAATGAGGTACTAAATTGAAACATGATATTATGATAAATGCTATAATAAAATTTAGATACGTGTTTCATCATACACACATCCCACCTAGTAGAATGGTGAGCTCCTCGAGAGGAAGGGATGTTTTCATATGCTTGGAGCAGGTACTGGATAGAGTAAATTGCTTATTAGCAGGGTCCCATCAGAAGGTTCCTGATGAGCTGGGTGGGCCAACCTGTGTCTAATAACCATATAGAACTTCCCACTTATTTCACTTGAAACTGAAAGAACTGGAGATATTGCAGACATTCTATAATGTTCGAGTGTCCATCAACTTTTCCAGTTCTTGTGCTTTGGGGTACTTGCTTATTCACAAATTGGGGCATTGCCTCTTCTGCTGGCCTCAGTTTGGTAACTTCACCAATGCAGATCACAATCCCTGTAACTTAATAGAGGTCTCTGAAAATTGCCATGTGAACAGTTCTCCGCCATACAGCCAACCTTATGATGAGAATCTTTGAATTTAGCTAAGTTGGCCCTCTTCCAGCAGACATAAACTGTTTGTCCTCAAAGCCCCCTGTCCTTGCTTAATGTTGAAGAAGGTGATTGGGGGCCTTATAGCATTGATACACCCTGGTTTGATGCAGGAGAAGGAAGAGAGCACCATCTTGCAGATAGAGAAGGATTTGCGCACTCAGGTGGAAGTGATGCTCAAGAAAAAGAAGGAGAGAATGCAAGAACTAAAACTGCTGCAAGAACAAGACCAGGACTTATGTGAGATTCTTTGTACCAAACCATACAGCATCGACAGGGCTTCGGTCCCAAGCTTGCAGGAGCTGGACCAGTTTAGGCAGCACCTGCAAGCCCTGGCTGAAACCAAGGTATCATTGTGTGTGTTTGTCGTCTGTCTGGTTAGTTCAGCTATGGGTGCCGTGATAACTGCCTCCTTCTTCACAGGCCAGTAGGCAGGAGGAGTTCATCAACACAAAGAAGCAAATCATACTCTGTATGGAAGAGCTAGATCACGCCCCAGACACAAGCTTTGAGAGAGATGTGGTCTGTGAGGACGAAGATGCTTTCTGTCTGTCAGTGGAGAACATCGCTGCGCTACAAACGCTGCTCCGGCAGGTGAGCAAGTTCCTTTGTTGACAAATTGCACAACTCTCCCCACCCCAGTCCCGGTCCAATCCTCTACAATTCACTATACCTGAAAACAATTGTAGCAGTTATATATCTGTGTCAATATCTATTTATCAAGAGAGAAGGAGAATTTTGGTTCTTTTTTCCTCTGTATTACTTCATTCACACCTGCCCAAGAATTCTTTGGATTCTACATATTTGTTAGTCCCTTATATTCATAATCAAAATGTCTTCAGTCAATTCTCAATGGATAAACTATAAACTGTTTGTTTCTATTTGTCTTTCCTATACAAACAGTTAGGAATATTTTGGGACAGGTAGTTATTTTCTTATTGTCATTAATCTCTGAGGGATATATACCCAATATAGCCCTAGGCCAAGGGGAAGAACAATTTAATGACTCTGCTTTTATGATTCCAAATGGCTTTTTGTAATGGTTGGATCAATTTAAAGCTCTGCCAGCCTCAGTGATTCAGCAGCATGCCTGTTTTCTCCTTCATCCTTACTGACACTGAATTTTTCCATTTTTACCAATTTGATGGATGAGAGATTATATCTTAGCATTGTTAGTTTACATCAAGTTGCTTTCAGCTTGAGTATATAACTTACTGCTGGAAGAGTGTATGGTCAGGGCTTTGGAACTATTTTTCAGAATTGGGATTCTGAACTCTGACTTGGTAAGTTGGTACTTATAAACTTCAGAAAACTGGCTGTCTTTTTTTTTTTCTTTTCCTGTTTTAAGAAAAATGATCAAGCTAAAGAAATATGTAGGCAATGAAGTAGGAAAAAGTTAATAGCTAAACAAAGCTGTCAGTACATTTGTATTCTAGCTGTTTGGGAATTGACTAAAACACGTAAATGCACAAATATGGAATTCAGAGTTGGAGTACAAGATTACTTATTGTTACTTGGCAAGCAGTTTCTCTTTGGGAAGGTGTGAGACTTGGGTGGACTTGCATTGTATAATTCTTGGCTTTTTCTGCTTTAGCTGGAAATGAGGAAAGCTCAGAATGAAGCTGTGTGTGAGGGTTTACGATCTCGAATCAGAGAACTCTGGGACAGGTTACAAATACCCCCTGAAGAGAGAGAAGCCCTGGCCACATTCATGACTGGGTCAAAGGCCAAGATAAGGAAGGCGGTAAGAAAACTTAATGGGAGAAGGGGGGAGCTGACACCCTTTTAAAAGTGATGTGCTGAGACTTTTACTGGTGTGTCAGGGCATGATAAAAAGGACTCTGTGAACTGTTTTTTTAGGGATTAGTGGCTGTCATCCCTGTGTTGGTTTTAGTGTGTGTGCATGTGTTCACCATAGATTTGCAGACCCTTATAAATCACATTTAAGTCTCATAAACATGAGCATATCTCCATGGCTTGCTGCTTTGAATTATACTCCCAGAATATAAAAAACTCAGCTACTGTGAAAGCTATTCTAGACACTTCTATAATTCCTTAATGCCATTTGCAAGATTTAGGGAACCTCCCTCGTGCCTTCCCTATTGGAAACCATCATAGTTGATTCCTTTGCATGCCAGCCTGACCTTCCGTTCTTGTCCTCCTCCCTGTTCACTGTTCTTGCTGCTGCCCTATGCTCCATGAGACATCCCTTAGGGGGCTGACAGTTCAGTCAGGCCCGAGAACTGAAGAGGTACAGGATGCTTTTGTGAAGTCAGTGGGGTCAGCCTGATGGCAAAAGATTTGTCTTGTCTCTTCTACTCTCAACTGAGGCTCTAAGTACATTGCTGGCTGTCAGGCGAAAGCTGGGCAGTCAGTGAGAGGGGGAGCGGTTCCATTGTTCTCCAGAGTAGGAAGGTAAGTACTTTCTGGTGTTTCTCCCTTTTGCAGCTGCAATTGGAAGTGGATCGACTAGAGGAACTAAAGATTCAAAACATGAAGAAAGTGATTGAAGCAATCCGGGTGGAGCTGGCTGTATATTGGGAAAAGTGCTTCTATAGCCAGGAGCAGAGACAAGCCTTTGCCCCCTATTTTGATGGTTGGTATGGGGCACATAATTTTGTAGATAAGCATGAGAAACTTGGATGTTCAATATTTTATAAGCCCTCAAAAAAGCATTCATTTTTTAAAAAATTTTTTTATTGATATCTTTTGACAACTGCCTAAATTTCCCCATCTTCTTCTCCCAGAGAGTCATCCCATATAACAACTTTTTTTGGGGGGGGGGGAGCGGGCTAGGCAATGGGGTTAAGTGACTTGCCCAGGGTCACACACCTAGTAAGTGTTATGTGTCTGAGACTAGATTTGAACTCAGGTCCTCCTGAATCCAGGGCCAGTGCTCTATCCATTGTGCCACCAGCTGCCCCCCATATAACAACTTTTTAAAGAAAGAGGAAGAGAAATAAATCTGCAAAACTGTTCAGTACATCAAAAAAAAAATCTGACTATACATGTTCCATGTCCATAGACCAGTCCAGCCTACAAAGGAGTGTGGGGAGGTGTCAAGAGTTTAAAAAAAAAAAAAGTTTTTATTGGGGCAGTGAGGTGTCATAGTGGATAGAGCACTAGCCGTGGAGACAGGAGGATCCAAGTTCAAATCTAGCCTGACATTTACTAGCTATGTGACCTTGAGCAAGTCACTTAACCCTGATTGCCTCCAAAAAAATTCACATCAATCAAAAGTAAGTTTTTACTGATATACTGTTTTTTACATGGTCTTTTCTTGTCAGATCCATCCCACATAACAAATAGTATTTTTTAAAGTTTAAGAGTATTAATTCTTAAACACACAAGTAGATGTCAGTAGAGTTTAAATAAGACATAATATCTACCCTTATGGAACTTATAGTCTAGTCAAGAGGATGTAACATATTTATAAATAACTATAATATGAATTAAGTACAGAGGACTTTGTGAAGTCTAAGATGGGGTAAAGCCTATTATATCTCTACTATAGAGATCAGAAAAAGTTGGTTTTTTGTTTTGTTTTTTCTGGAAAAAGTGACATTTGATGATTGGCCTTTTAAGGAATGGACAGGATTTCACTAATTAGAGGGAGTTTCTAGGAAATTCTAGGCATAGGGAATGGGCCAGGGCACTAGTCCAATTTGTCTGGAACATAAAGAAAGTAGAAAGATGAGTCTGGAAATATAAAGTGGTACCACATTGTGGACAGCTTCTGAATGCAGGCCAAGGAGAATAAACTCCTAAGTGGTAGGCAATAGAGAGTCATTGTGAAGGGTTTGGAGCGGAGTAGTGATGTAATCAAATCTGGGTGTGAGGAAGATTGAAATCAGCAGTGTGAAGAGTGGGGTGCAGACTTCACCATCTGGTTCATTTTCGGGCACTTTGGCTTCTTTCACTCCAGGCAGCCACTGGAATCAGCTTTTCCTTGTCTCTGACCTTCCAGCATCCCGTCTTTGCACAGGGTGTCCGCTGGGTGTATGGAGCACTCCCTCCTTGGCCCGCTTCTTTCGGGCCCCTGCCTTCCTGGAAAACATAGATCATGTGCCCCCTGTCCTGTGGGGCTTCCATTTGTTAGTGTTGGCAGTATGAGATTTCTTCATGTTTCCTTCTTTTATACTCTCCTCCCCCCCCCCCAAAAAAAACCCACCTCAAAACAGCTTTTTGGGTTTTTTTGTCCTGTGTTCCCAGTGTTAATGAAGTACATTGCCCAGTTTGGGGATTGGAGGAAGGGTGGAAAATGAGGCAGGTTCTGAACTTATTATTTCATTCATTTTGGAGAGCTTCTTGGGCTGGAGAATCCCTCCACTGGTGCAATGTTTCAGCCCATTAGTCTCAGAGAATTGCCTGGGTTAAGTGACTTGGCCAGGATCATACAGCTGGTATATGTCTGGAGTAGGGCTTGTGAACCTGGGTCTTCTTGCCTCTGAATCTGGGTCTCTATGCCATACTGCCTTTCGTAGTTGTAGGTCATGTTCCCTGCACATAGTAGGTAAACATTTGTTGAATTGTTGAACCTGTTTGGAGATGGTTGTAGTCCAGATATTTTAAAAGTGAGGATTTTTACTAAGGTGATAGTGAGACTAATAGCAAGAAAAAAGAACAGATAACAGAGGTGTGACACAGGGAGCTTCGGCAGGTCTTGCTAACTAAATGTGAGAGGTGGGAACCTATTAACCTAAAGGTTTCCAGCATAAGAGATGGGGTGAATGATGGTACCACTAACAGAAATGAAGCCACAGGAAGGGGAGCAGGTTTTGGAGGAGAAAGTAAGCTCAGATTTGGACATGTTGAGTTGGAGCTATTAATTGAACATGCAGGTGTAGATGTCCTGTAAAGCCATTGAAGTTGTAGGTCTAGGCCTCAGAAGAGAAGTTGGAGCTGAGGATATAGATTTGGGAGTTATGTGTTGAAGTGACTGCTGAAGCCATAGACATAAAGGGCAGCGCTATGAAGGAAGGGGAAAGGAAGGCCACAGACATCCTTGGGCAGCACCTTCCTTTGGAGATTAAGGAGCTGGCAACAGAAAATGAGTATTTAAAGAGGGAAGAGAAGAACCAAGAGAACATAGGACTGTGAATTCAACCCCTACAGCTGAGAAGAGAGAATCCCAAAAGAAAATATGGTCAGGGACCATATGTCAAGGAAGACTGAGGCCTGAATAAGAGAAGACTGGATTCAGTTGAAGGGGGAGAACTAGAAACCAGATTGGCAGGGGCTGAAAGGAGGCAGAGATGGTGATGAGGTGTACCCCTGAGTAAGCAAAGAACTTAAAGTTTCACTGTGAAGCAAAGAAGGAAAACCCGTAGAAGGCCCTTTTAGGATTAGGGAGGCCTGGGTGTGTTGGACGATTAAAGATGCATGAGAGAGAAGGAATGATGATGTTAAAGAAGATGTAGGAGTCATTGGCATCAAGGCTAAACAAGGAACAGGCATATCTCCTCTGAGATGGAGGAGAAATGATGCCAAAAGAGGTGTTGAAGATTGTTAGGTGACCCGAATCTCCTTGGTGAAATAGGCCAAGTCTTCTGGGAAAGGAGTGTGGTAAGGGGCATGAAGAAGGAAGAGAAGATAGTTAAGAATAGTCTCTATGAGAATGAGAGAGAATCGGCCACATTTTCTAGCTATTCACCATTTTATGTTTTTATTGATCATCATTTTTTGTTTTTTGTTTTTTACATTAATACACATTTATAGAATAAAACAAGCATTTCCATAACATAGTGCAATAAAAAAGATTAGTGCATGGAACTGTAAATCTAAGCACAACTTGCTATTCTTTTTAAATATACCACAATTAACATGTAACTTTGTGTGTGTAAAATTATTCTATACATACTTCTACTTATCAATTCTTTCTATGGATACAGATAGTGTCTTTCTTTATGTCTTTTATAGTTAATTTGGGTGTTTGTAATAGTTAAAGTAATTTACTCATTCCGAGTTCTTAAAACAGTATTGCTGTTACTGTATTCAGTGTTCTCTTGGTTCTCTCATTTCGCTCTTCATTGTTTCACGCATGCATGTTTTTCTAAGATCATTGAGTTTATTATTTCTTATAGCACAGTAGTATTCCATCACTATCATATGCCACAACTTGTTCAGCCATTCCCCAACTGATGGGCATCCCCTCAATTTCCAGTTCTTTGCCACCACAAAGAGAACTGCCATAAAGATTTTTGAACATATAGGTTCTTTTCCTTTTTCCCTAATAATCATCTTCTACAAAGTCCTTGTAGTGGTATTGCTGGGTCAAAGGGTATAGGAAGTTTAACAACTCTTTGGGCCAGATTGCTCTCAAATGATTGGATCAGTTCGCAATTCTACCAACAATGAATTGGTGTCCCAATTTTTCCACATTCCCTTCCAACATTTGTCACTTTCCCCTTCAATCAGTTTAGCCAATCAGATAGGTATAAAATGATATCTCAAGGTGGTTTTAATTTTTATTTTTCTAATCAATAATGATTCAGAGCATTTTTTTCTTACGACTATAAATTGTTTTGATTTCTTCATTGGAAAACTGCCTGTTCATATCTTTTGATCTCTTAGCAATTGGGGAATTACTTGAATTCTTATAGATTTGACAAGATTCTTTATATATTTTTGATATGAGACTTTTATCTGAGAAATAGTCTATAAAATTTTTTTCCTGACTTTCTGCTTTCCTTCTGATCTTGGCTACATTTATTTGTATAAAAACTTTTTAATATAATGTGATTGAAATTATCCATTTTATACCTAACTTTGCTTTCTATCTCTTGTTCATAAATTCTTCTCCTGTCCATAAGTCTGATAAGTAATATGTTCTATGTTCTTCTAATTTTCTTCTAAAATCTCTAGTCAGTATTTTAGGCAATTAATTATAAGACTGGAGGAAATAATCCCATTAATTTGTTCTCTTGTGACTTATCCAGCTTGGCCTTCTACTTTGATAGTTACTATCCAGAAACCAGGGAGAGACCGTGCAGGCCTCCAAAGAGGCAGTCAGTTTTCACCCTCTCTCTATCTCCTGGTTCTTTCACCACTGTTTGTAGACATGCCCAGGATTCTCCCATCCTTTAAAAACAAAAGGAAAGGACCAGCCCCTCCAGATATCTTCTCATGGCTCTTCTCCCTCTCTAGCCCATAGTAGCTGCCTCTGCTGCTTCTCTCCTACACACCCTTTGTAGTATGACTTCTGACTTCATCACTTATGAGGTCACTGTTCTCTTCAAAGTTGCCACTGACCTCTTAACTGGTAGGTGTGATGGTCTTTTCTTCAGTTCCCATCCTTCTTGGCCCCTTAGCTGAATCTGATACCATTGCCTACCCTCTCCTCCTGGATACTCTCTGTTCCCTGAGTAATCACAGCTTTTCCCTCTCCCAGTTCTCCTCCTAGCTCTCTGGTTACTTGGTCTCCTTTGCTGTCTCATCTTCCATAGTGTTCCCCAACTGTGGATTTTCCCTAAGACTTTGTCTGGGCCCCCATCAGTGCCCATGGGTATAATTATTATTTCTATGCAGGTGACTCCCCAGTCTATAGATATCTAGCCCCAGGCTCTCTCTTATACTTCAGTCCTACCTTACCACCTGCCTGTTGGATATTTCAAACTGTATGTGCCAAAGACCTCTCAAACTCCACATAACCAAAACAACTCATCTTTCCCTCCCCATCATCTTCCTTATTTCTGTCAAAAGCACCACTATTCAGGTTTGCCGTCTCGCAACATTATCCTGGACTTCTATCTTGCCAGCCACACTGACCTCTTTCTCCTTCACACATTATACTCCATCTCCTTTCTCCACGTGTTTGCATTTAATTCTCCCTGTGCCTGGAAGTAGCTGTTTTACTTCTGCCTCGCTTCCTTTAAGACATAGCTCAAGCGCCTCCTTCTCCATGGAGCCTTTCTTGATCCTTCCCAGCTACTGGTGCCTGCCTTTCCTCCAGCTGACTGTCTGGTGTTTAGTTGGTCTTTATTCTGTTGATACTTATAGCTCCATATCTCTTTCTCTGATTGATTGTTCTTTTGTATTTGTATCCCTAGTACACAATGGTGCCTGGCACGTGGTAGGCCCCTAGTGCTTACTGACTAATTCAACTTAATTCAGTAGCCACTGGATTTGATTAGAGAGACGTGTTTTAGTAGATGGAGGCCAGATGCCAGCAAGTTAAGAAACTGGGCTTTACTTACTATGGGACGAATGGAAAGGTACCAATTGCTTTCAGAAAGGGTGACTTTATTGAAAAGCTACTTGCTTTCTTTGCAGGGGATTATACTGAGACCCTGCTCCAGCTCCATGACTCAGAACTCGTGGAACTAAAGCATTACTATGAGGCTCACAAAGAGCTATTTGAAGGCGTTCAGAAGTGGGAAGACAGCTGGAAGCTTTTCTTAGAATTTGAGGTAATTTTCTTCGTTTTTGGAAGGGGGGGAAATTGAAGTTTTCTGAGTGTGTCATATATTTCCGTGAACACAGCCCAATATCCCCTCTTCCCTTGGAGCACACTAGGCTTCTGAATCTGACTGGGCTATGAGGCCTTCTAACTACCACCCATCACTTCTTGCTGCCTTCTCCTATACTCTTGGGAGGCTCCACTTGAATTGGGACTCCTTTTAATTTCTTTTCTCACAGAATAGCTTTAGAATGGAGAAAGAACCTCATTGGTCCTTCATTTTCTATCTCCTGAAGAATACACTTTTGTAGGATTAAAGGACTTCCAAGAAATAACTTCTTGCTGTGCTGGCATTTATTAGCTGACCATGAGTTCTCATCGAAGTCTTTTGTCCTTAGAGAAAAGCTTCAGATCCAAGCCGATTCACCAATAGAGGTGGAAATCTGCTGAAAGAAGAGAAGCAAAGGGCCAAGCTCCAGAAAACTCTACCTAAGGTATGTATTGCTCCTTGCATCTCCCAGCGCAAACCTCGGAGCACATTCCTCACTCCAGAAAACTGTCCACTTGAGATCTTTTGCCCAAGAATTAATTCACTTCATGCAAATGCCTCTGAGTAGGCAGAGACCCTGCAGAATGTTGACAATGGTTAGTGATCGAATTAATAAATCCTAACTGAACCCTGCCCAACTTCATGGAAAACTTATTGTAACAATGTTTGCCCTCTTTTAGCTTTGTTCCTCTGGAACTGACTGGTCCCAAGTACACAAATCAAAGTTTACCAAATAACCTTTCTACCACCAGAGAGCCTGCTCCATTGTTATTTTTACCACTGGCCTGGAGGCAGTCCCCAATTGGACTGATGTTTGCTTGATAGAGGCCAACATGAGAGAGTTCCAGGCTTCCTGGGTCACCATGTACCACCCAAACAGGAACCTTGGAGGAGGAAGAGAAGGCTATGGGTCTTGTTCATCCCAATCCTTCATCCCCAGATGTTGTGAATGAATTCTGTCTTGTGGTCTGGCCCCCGGAGGTCCTAGATCATAAGTTGGAAAGGACTTTAGAGATCATCTTGTCCAACCCCCTTCTGTTACAAATGAGGAAACTGAGGCCCCAAAAAGTTAAATGTCTCCCCAAGGTCACGTGAAAAGGGATAGAGCTGACTTTGGAAGGCCGTGACCTCTCACTGTAATGTTCTGCCTGCGCAGGCGCATTGTTTTCCTTTAATCTTCTCCATCTGCTAACCCTGGAACAGAAGTAGGGGACCAAAGTCACTGGGGCCTTAATTGTGGGAAAGAGGTTTGATAGTAATAATTGTGGTTATCTTTATGGCCCCAGCTGGAAGAAGAGTTGAAGGCACGGATTGAACTGTGGGAACAAGAGCACTCAAAGGCCTTTGTGGTGAATGGACAGAAGTTCATGGAGTATGTGATGGAGCAGTGGGAGCTGCATCGTCTGGAGAAAGAGAAGGCAAAGCAGGAGAGAGTAAGTCTGAATAAAGAAAGGGAAGGGGAATACGGCTCTTTGGGGGCCAGATGGCTGCCCTTGTTCCCCATCTTTGTGGATGCACACAGAGTGCTTCCTAGACGAGTGACGCAGTGTGGAGACGGGATTTCTACTGACCTGTGGCCTGCCCCTGTGGTGGGGCGGTGGTGGCTGACTGCGTGCTTTTGTGACTTTCTTGCAGCAGCTCAAGAAGACCCAGCAAACAGAAACAGAGATGCTCTATGGCAGTACACCTAGGACACCCAGCAAGCGGCGAGTACTGGGCCCCAACACGCCAGGCAAAGTGCGCAAGGTAAAGTGAGGCTGCTTTCTGCGGGAGCCAGGGGTGGAGGGGGGTGGGGTGTATTTCATTGATAACCCTCTTTTGCAAAGTTGCCTTGAAAGTTGATTATTTTCCCAGATTTGTATCACAATTGTTTTCCCCCACTTCTTAGTCATAACTTGAAAGTTATACTCACTCCAGCTGAACGTTAGGCCTTTGTAGCTTCATAGGTCCCTGAGCTATGTTCCCTTTACTGGACATGACAGATGCTTCATCTGGCATGGTTGTCTTCCTTGGTTGGTACTTCCTTCCCTTGCCTGCTCTCCTGATTTCCAGTCATGTTTGAGGATGTTAACACATTGCTGCCCTAGGTCATGCCACTAACTTCCCTGCTCTTCCCCTCCAGCTTAATTCCACCACAGTCTCCTCAGCCACTCCCAATAGCACCATCCGCTCTGTCTTCGGTGGGACTGTCTACCACTCCCCAGTGTCCCGCCCTCCACCTGCTGGAGGCAAGGTCAGTTTGTTTGATGCACATTCACTATTAATACATTCACCAGTTACCCACCTTATCCCATGTTATTCTAATTGTCAAAATAGTGGCTCCTGCCCGGGATCCCAGAACGATTACTTATTTAATCTGACAAAGTATAGTTAGGCTGAAGTAGACCGTCACAGTAATATCAGGTGGAAATCACAGAAGGATGGTGATGTGACTGGATTATGAGGATGATAAAGGTTTGTTTGGTAATGAGCTCCACTGATTCTGGGGGCCCAGCTTTCCGGTAGCACCTCATTAGATCATTGACGCTGGGAACAGAGACTGTGCTTCCATGTTCCCAGAGTGGTGTCTGGCTTGGGGTCCTTTCCATTCCCAGATCAGGAGTTTTCAAGGGTGGAAGGCAGGGGGAAGGAGTGCTTGGCAAAAACACTTGCTGAGTGCTCTGCAATGTACATTTCACATGTGAATGTGTTCAATAAAGCCTTTAGCACTCCCATTCTGAATAAATACCACAGCTCTTCCAGAACACACCAGCACTCACATCCTGTTCCAGTGGCCTTGGGTTCTCAAAGGCTTAGGCCCTCGGTCCGGATGTTGTATTCTCTACATTTTTCATGGGCTACTAAAAGGCCTTTCGCTGGCCAAGCAGCAGCCCTTAGTGTTGTGCAGGCCTAGGCTAGAGGAATGCCAGGTCTGGCCAGTCCAACCAAACTGAAAAGCTGCTGGTTAGGCTCCATCACTGTCTGTGTGTTTGCCATTTCGGGGCCAGCCTAGCCAAGGCCCACTTGGGTCATTACTAGGTCAGCCACAGAGTTATGCATTTTTTGCTAACTCTCAAAAGGACGTCCAATAAATTGTAGAGGGGCCACAATTTGTATCAGTGGAAGGGAGGATTCACACCAGTGAAATCATAGATCCATGAAGTATTTTTAGTACAAGAACACACAGTATCCAGAACATATGACCATCCTCTTGAACTTTTTTGGTGACTTTAGACGTTGTACCATTGACTATTTTGTGAAGATGACTTACCTTTCTTTTTTTCTTTCTTTCTGCTTACTTTGGCCAGCCATCCAAGACTCCTAGCCGTCTGGGGCAAAGGACAGTCCCTCTGGGCAGACAGGGACACGACAAAGAGAACATTGAGTTGAGTGGCAGCATCCTGACTGGTGGGTGTCCCTACTCGGCCCCTCTCCAGCATAACCTCACCGTTAATTCTGTTGCCAGCACCTATTCTGAGTTTGCGGTAATTGTCCTTTTCTAAAATCTACCAATCCCTGGGGAGCACACAGTCAGGGTGGAATGGGGAAACTCCTAGGGGGAGCACGAGATATTAGATAGGACAAGTTCGGCTTTGGGAGCTCAGAAGCCTTTCTTGCCTTGGTGGGAAGTCCTGTGCAAGAGGAAAGTTGACTGTGATGATTGGACATCTAAATTGAATCCTTCTGTCAGAGACAAACTATTCCTTAGTTGCAGAAGGAAATTCCCCTAAACACTATCATTCATGCAGTGACCACCTTAGTGTTCTCTTGGTGGAGTTCCTGGTAACTGTCTCAATTCTTTATTCTGTAGAAGGACCCTTCCCTCTTTGACTGCTCACCTGTTGGGTCTCAGGTCTGTATGTCCCAGCATGTTCCTTCTTCCTTCAAACCTACCTGATGTCTATCAGCTTCATTACCATCTAGGAAAAGCTTTGTACTAACCAGGGGACTTGGCCACATTTACCGAAGAATCCTTTGGCAAGGGGGAGCAGGAAAGCCTACTGAATAGACTTTCTAACTTGGGAGTATCGGGTTTCTTGAATTCTCAAATATTGAATCATCTCATTATGAAAACTTGCTGTGACTTGCATTCCCAGCTCCATCTAAAACCAGGCAGGTTTCTTACAATGGCAGTTTTCTAACTTGGAAAGCTTAACCCACCACCCTGGTTTGAGCACGTGCCATGAAAGAACAACATAGGTGACCTACTCACTATTTTGGGAGTGAAGGGACGGAACCCCTGACTGTGTGCTTCCAGTATTTAGTTCCTCTGGGCCTGTGTGCTGATTATTTCCTGGAGTATATGCCTCACTAACCCCTGTCATACTAGACTGCTTTATTTCAGTTTACTCTAAGCTAGCTGATGCTCATTTGCCTGCTTTCCCTGTTTCTTCTGCATGAAGCTGCTTGGATATCTGGGGCGTTGAAGGGCCGAGATTCTCCAGAATAGCACTGCATGCTGATCAAAGTACCATACCGGTTTGAGAGCCCTATGTCTTGGTTTGATATTCTCAGCCCTGTTTAACACCTAACAATAGCCATTATTAACACCTTTAATCTAACTGTGGGGTCACGCATGTAAAGCACCTTTCACATGTTTGAGTGCTACATAATTTCAGCTGTTGTTGCTATTATTATTCCTTTAGTACCTTTCTATTCAGATAGAAAGCTCCCCATGCCCCAGTGGAGACTTAAGGTCAAAGTCTGGGAGGGACCAGATGATATTGGCATTCAATGGCTTATGCTGTAATGACAGCAGGAGGCTGACCTCCTGCATAATATCATAGTTGAACATCATTGCCTCTTCAGTTATTGCAATGTGGGTTGGTTGGGTTTTTGTGTTTTGTTTTTTTTCGGCAGCATCATGTTCCATAGGTAGTAACTCCATCTACAAAAGGATGAGCATTTTAGCAGTGATGTAATTGATAACTGAGGAATGGTGTAGGGTCACCTCCTTGTTCTCTCAGTCTAGTCCAGACCAGACTTATTTAAGCAGTTCATTTCCTACAGATTCCAGTATTCTGTGCCTGGTTTCCTGGAAGGATCCTTAGGAACCTTTGCCACGGCTTTGTCTTCCAGCTCTAATACTGCCTGTTTCAATCTAACATCCATTAACATCCTCTTATAACTTGGCCTTTACCTTTTCATACCATGTGCTCCAGCATGAGATCAAATCATCAGCAGGTCACAGGGCTTCCAGCCCCAGGGATTGGTAGATATGCCTGGCCCGTGGTCTGTAGAGGGAGCAAGGGCCAGTCCTTCCGCCCTTTTTGCTTCCTTGGGCACTGGCTCTTCACCTCTGAGTCCAAAAGCTCCATGGACATTTTGGCATTTCTGTTACACAGAATAGGTCTCTTTCCCAGCCCAGTGTGACTTGGGGGATGTGTATGAGCACCTGAGCATTTCCTGTGACTAACTATAAATGTACAAATCCCCTTAACTCATGTCCTTAACACAACTTTTGGTGGGACTGATGACTAAAATCTGATCTCATGTCCAAATCAAGGCGAGATCATCCCCGCCTGCTTGCTATTATGAGAAGCTTAACTGTTTCCTGCTATTGGGATTTCCCAGAGGTGCTGTGCTGGAAGGGAGGGAAAAAGAGGAGTGCTTCATTGAACTGACAGCTTCCTGGGCCTCCCCCACCCCTCCCCAGCCTTCCCAACCTCAGCTTTCCTGACTGCTTTTCTCTTCCAACAGCGAGAACTTTCAAAGGCTTCCAGATCTGACATCCCTTCTCGAATCCTCAATTCTACAAATATCCAGTCCTGAGAAGACCCTCGACATCCTCCCCGCTTGTGGCTTCCCTGTGCCAACACTGGACGTAAAGACACTGGGGTGGCTTGTTTATATATCTATATAAATATATCTATATATATATGTCTTATTTCAGGCTTATTCTCAATTAAGGAGATGTTTAAACCAATGACTAGATCCAAAGCTCAGTATAAAAGGTTACAGCCATAGTGCACAAGCCTTTTATAGGTCCAGCTGTTCCTAGGGACTTAGTCTTAATCAGTAATTCTTCCTCATTGACGCTAAATAAAGTGTAAACCTAGTTTAATGTAAATAGCTCAAAGTGTAAATTTTAATGTTCTAAAAGACGTATAGTGTTTACCCTGTTCCTTGACTCACTTTTTAACGGTGTCATTTTTGTTTTTTAATGAAATAGAAGATGGCTGGTTGAATCCCTCCTTTGTGTAGGTTATATCTTTTTACATTGTCATTTTGACTCATAGACTAATAATTAAAACTTTTTCAGTTTGTGAATTTTTAACGAATTAACCCCTTATTTTAGCGTTGTTCTTTTTCCTCAAAGGGATATCCCCTTTGATATCACTTAGGACAGCCTACTATAAGTACAATACATATAATCTGCTTCTTTATTTGAAATTGGAATGGTATATAAGGGAAACACAAACTTCTGCTAAAGAACTGACTAGGAAGATTAGGCTAAATCCCTGGAAGGAAGAGAACTGGCCCCTCCCTCCCATATCTTCTATTTATGTTGTCTTTAGTCACGTTGGCTGTTATGTCTCTCTATTCTCTAAGAGTTAAACCTCAGCTTTGCGTGCGTGTGTGCGTGCGTGTTATTGACCCCTCTACTTGGCTCTTGTTCCTGTCCGAATCCATTGTCCTCGTCCTTTCTCTTTACAGTAAGACTGAGCTTGAGGGGTAGTTACAAAATTGGTTACTGATTTTCTAAGAGTACAAATCTGCAATTTTCTCTTTGTAGTGCTAGGGAGCTGCCTTGGTTACTGTTCACAATGCTGGAGAATCATGCCTATGTACTTTATCACTCCAGCTCTCTCCAAAGCACTATTTATTCTCTAACTGGGTCTTTTTAAAATGTGCATGCCTGAGCACATGCTGCTGTGTTGTTGTTCATCATAATAAATGGTTCTCAGAAGTTTGTGTGTGAATTTGTTCTGTATATCTAGCTGCTTCACAGCAAGCCTTTCAAGGGAAGGACTCAAGCTGTTCTCTAGGCCTTCTAGAACTCTCTACTCATGCAAATGCATCCTAACATATGCATAGGATTCTAAGTTTATAGCTAGGAAGAACCTTCAAGTCCCTCTCCATTGTACCACACTGCTTCCTGATGAAAGAAAATGAACCATATAAAACAAATTATGTGATTTATTTACATTACAAAAGTTGATAATGTATAAAAAAGTTTTTTTTTTCTAGAAATGCTATACATTGGGATACTATCTCAATACTATTAACATGAGGACTTTACAAAGAGAGAATGTTCTCACATGCATTGAAGCAGCCGTCCCCTCCCTCAGTGGGACCCGAGACCTTATTTTAAATGTGAGAAAACCAAGACCAAGAGAAGTAGTGAGGTAGAGCCCTGAACTGACAGGTCAGCGGGGGGGGGGGGGGGGGGGGGGGGGGG